CCCCAGATGGAAATTATAAATTTATTTTAGTTTACCAAGACCATCTTACCAAATATGTGATCCTTCGTGCGCTTCAAACTAAACGCGCCGTAGAAGTTGCACACCATCTTTTGGATATTTTCATTACTTTTGGAGCGCCGAGCATCCTTCATTCCGATAATGGTCGAGAATTCTCTAACCAAGTTATTGAGAGTTTATGCTCCATGTGGCCGGATGTAAAAATCGTACATGGAAAGGCAAGACATAGCCAAAGTCAAGGATCAGTGGAGACTGCTAATCAAGACATAGAAAATATGTTGAGTACGTGGATGGAAACCAATCAGTTATCAAAGTGGTCAGAGGGTTTAAGATTCATTCAGGCAATGAAAAATAGAGCATATCATGAGGGAATCAAATGTTTTCCCTACGAAGCAATGTTTGGTTGTCCAATGAAAATGGGCCTTGCAACTTCAGCAATCCCTAGTGATATGATTAGAGTTATAAGATCTGAAGACGATTTAGAGAAGTTGTTGCATTCGCATGACAATATGGAACAAAATAATGATGTTGAAAATGCAATCGAACAGGACAAGGAAGAAAGCATTGTTGAAAATGAGTCAGAAGGGGTTAAATTAAAGGTAAAGAAGTGAGTCTTCGAGTTGTCGCAAAATTGTCTTTGACCAAGGACAAGGTTTGAAGAAGTGCAGCTGCTTAAAAAAATGCTTAACGAAGAAGTGTGCTTGCAAGTCATCAGGATTACTTTATAATTCTAAATGCCATGATAGCTCTTAATGTTGTAACAAGTAAAATCCTTTTTTACTTTTATTAAATGAACAATGAATACCAAGTGATTAGAAAAAATACTGTGATTACTGATTAGCTTAGCCGGGTAGGCTATTATATTATTTTTTACAAGACAATTTAATTTTTGTTATGTTAAAACAGTATTTTTAAACTGTTTCACTAGTTTTTAATAAATAGGACTTAGTAAGTTTATAATAGTTGCAATAAATGATTATTAAAATATTCATAGTTTTATTTCCAAAACCAACAATTACTAATCGTCTTTAGTAAAACCTAGCATGTACCAAATTCTAATGGTAAAAGTCCGGAAATTCATCTCACTTTATAAAAATCCTTACATTTACCAACTCATATTGGTAAATCCGAAAATTTACAGGTAAAACCTAGGATTTACCAGTATACGGGCTTTTACAGTAACATATATACTATATATTAATTTAATATATCGCTACATTATATATTATAGAAATGAGGGTGGCTGTGTGCAGTTTGATTCCAAGATTTGAGAAAATGTGCTGTGATCAATAGGCTTATCCATCCCACTAATTATAATTACTGTATATTTTTGCAGATAAGACAATAATTGAATCATTAAAAAAAAATCCCAAAATCTGGGGTCGTCTTATAGGGCAGATACAAAAAAAATTAGAGAATTTTATATAAATTAAAACCATTATAAAAAAAATGGACAAACCGTAATTATTTACTAGTAGAGAATAGGGTATGTCCACAAAATAGAATAGCCCATACCACATTTATGTGAATAGTCAAGGTCATTCATTACCAGAATGCCCGAATCAGTGCGAATGTTTGCAACAATCGCAAGGCAGTGCTGCCAGATGCAAGAAAATAAAATTTGTTTATTTGAAAAATTATGAATAGGACATAATTCCATATACATTATACAGTATTATTATCCAGATGATGATCACTGATCTAAACTAAATTCATAGGCAGTTGATAGTTTGGGGGTCATCTTATAGGACAGATATATGCTAAAACTATAAAACTTTGGCGAAAATTTATGCCTTGTCTTATCTGCAGGTCATCTTATCTGCGGAAATATACGGGAATTAAATTTATTCAATTACATTTTTTGTTATCTTACAAACATGTTTTATTTATTTTTTACTTAACTGATAATTTTTTAATTAAAGAGTTAAGACATTATTTCATTATTTTGCAAATTTTACTTGTTAGAATTTGACATAGGGCACTTTGGGAAAATCTGAATTTAGTATGGCACCGGGAATCAAAAAAGTTTGGGAACCACTGTTATAGTGTTCTACTTACATATCTTTTTTATTTTCGATAATAAATTTGAGTGACTTGTTTTCTATTAAATATATATTTGAGCTGAAAAGTTGATAATGTATTATATTTTATGTAGGGAGGAATTCCTGAAATTCCAGGAATACCAAATCCAACATTTTCACAGACAGTTGGAAGTATTACAACTCATCCTCATCATTGTGATTGGTGTCATAAACAATATGCCAGTAAAGCAAAACTTTTGCAACATCAAAGAAAAAAACATATTGATATGCTGGCTTTATCCTATGTTTCATCTAAAACTCCGGTAAGAAAATTAATTATTATTATGTTGGGTTTAGTGGGTTATACTTGGTTGATACTGGTGGCTGTGTACTTATTATTATTATTATTAATAGTAAATATTAATTTATTTATTGATTTAAAAGATTTATTGAATTATTAACAATTATATGTTTCTGTTTAGACACAAGTTCAAACTGTCAGTACTCAGCAAAATGCAACAACTGTTGCTGGACATATTGTAATTGCACAGGGTTTGACAAATACTTTACCAGCTGATGGAACTGTCATTGATGCTATAAAAAGGAAGATACAATATGTAGATAGAGATGTTGCAACTTTGGTATGATTATTTTTTCTTTTATATAATTATATATTATAGAATTTATATATTTAATAACAAGATACTTCAAGAGAACTAAATGCATTTATATTCCAGTAATTGCATTTTCAAACAAAGTTTTCATTTTCTTTTTTTTTAAATGCTTTTATTTAACTTGCTTTGTATATGTCCTCAAATCTTGCAATTTGAATTTCATCCACTTCTATTTAAGTTACATATGTATCCTCTAAGTTTTAGCTTTCTGAATCTGATGTCAATGCATTTTAATGATATTTTTATGGGTGGCCTTACCCCTACTCCTAAAAACATCATTAAAATGCAATCCCCACTATCCTTCCTACTCTGAACCCACCAAACATAACAAAATGTAGAATTTTATTAATATCAATACTTTACAGCTAAAACATTGTATTGATATATATGACAGATGTTTTTCTTAAGTTTGAGGCTACCTCTAATGTATTAAAAAACATTTTTTAATGCATTTATTGAAGTTATTTTCTGTTTGATGTATATATCAACCAATATTATTACATTCAGCACTAAAATTATATATTCTTAATTGTATTAACACACAATTAATGTAATTGTAATTATTGTAAGTAAACTTATGCATCTTAATTTTCTTTGCTAAATCTGAGCAACTTTGAGTTTTCCTTTAAAGTTGAATATTGAGCAAAATTCTTGTCCACTATGATAGATGATACACCATACAACACAATGCAAGTTTTTCAATATGTGAATGAAATACTTTCTTAAAAGTTGCAGGTGATACTAGATACTACCATTTTACTTACTTGATTTGGCTTGACAAAGCACAAGATGATGGAACTGGGCAAAGTATTTATTTGACTTACTGATTAAATATCACAGGATTAAAACTATTACCATCTCCAAATTTCAGTCAACATAATGAATTGCTGTAAGTATTGTTCACCAGGCATCCATCAGATTTCCACATTGTGTATCATGTTGCTTACGTCACTCTAAATAATATATTGGCAGTTGTAATCAATGTCCTGTGAACTACAGCATGATCATGATAACCATGGACAAATAACTCTCAATAATTAGTTATGTCACTAGCATCCATTCATTGCAAATGATTTCATATAAATTCAGGATTATTACAGATGCCTGATGATTGTTTGACAATGTGCTTGATAGTTTGTTGATCCCAATCTGGTTTCATGGACTTACCAGATCAGGAGTTCAGTGCTTCCATTTGATAACCTAGCTGACAGCAGATTCTCAGACTGAATGACCATCTTATGAGGTCTGACTATCATACCACATTTGAATGGACTCAACTCATTGCATTCACTCATTCTGACAACATAATTTTTATACTGATGATGCTATATAAACAAAGATGTAGATACATTAACAATGTGTATCTGCATCATATGGAGAGACAAGATGAAATTAAAGATGTCCAGTCACTTTTAGTAACATAGTGTTTGTAATGAAAATAGCATTAAAAACTAATTTTTAGTTTTTTGTTAAATAATAATTTAAATTAAGACCTTAAATGAGAAAAAAGGAATAGCATAATGGTCTGGGACTGTTTTTTTCTGGTTTGGAAAGAGCCCATTCCAAAACAGGAAAAATACAACATAAATGTAAACTTTACTACTCATACATTTAATTTTAAGATTAATTTCTGCTGATAACAAAAAATACTATACAGGATAATCAGAATCAACTACACAATAATCATAACATTTTTTCATGTTGGTTTTTGACAAGAAATCAGGTGGTATCTGTTTTCAATTGGATGTGGCATTAGAGATATTTACATTGAATGGTTTATGACATCACTTCTAGTATATAAGGACAAATCAGAAATAACTCTTATAGAAAGAAGTTATTATTTATTAACTTGTTGCATTACTGGTTACATTATAAGAGTTCAAAATGCCTCTGCCTAGTGAGAACAAGTAGCTGCCTATCAAATAATACTCTTTTGTATGCATTGCAGCAAGGCCAATGTTGTTGTTGTGATGGCCATGTGCAAGGCAGCTACTAGGTCTTGTTGGAAATCTTCTGCCTGTCTGTCTGTAAATAAATGCTTTCAGATGCCTCATAAGAAGTCTACAGGATTTAGATTGGTGATCTAGCAGGCCATGTGACTGTATTACTAGGGTCAACCCATCAACCTAGATATTCTCTTTCCAACCACTGGTGAATAATCAACAAAGAATACACAAGTGCTCTACTTTGCTGAAACCATAAACAGTGAATAAGATTACCTAGTTTTTTGCACAAGATTGTTCAAAAAAAATAAATAGGTGTTTCCAGCTGTCAGATGAGATGATGATACTCTCAGAAGAATATCATGCACAATAGTACACCAAATATTGATACCCCAACAGACTTCATATGTGTGCAAATGGGTGCATGGGATTTTCTGATACCTAAACATAAACCTTTATGGCTGTTAATCCACAAAATCTGGTGGATGAAAGTTTTATCTATACTAATATTATAAAGAGGTAATGTTTGTAAGTAAGTTTGGATGTAGTGGGTAATCTCCGAAACTACTCATCCGATTTCAAAAATTCTTTCACCAATATTTAGAATGGAACTTCAGGGTGGACATTGTTTAACGGAATAATATATAGTCTTTCATATAAATTAAAAGATATAATCTAGGTTAAGGCTTTTATGTCCAACAGATGGGGATAAAAGTACGACACCCTAAGTTTGCTTTTCTGTGAGGCATTATGCTTTTCTGTGAAAATGAACTAAAGCAGATCATCATCTATCTATCTATATAAATAAAAATGTAATGTTTGTTTGTTCCTACCGATTCCTTTGAAATTTTGACACAACACTGCATTCAAATACACACGTGTTTTTATATAATATACGTGTCAAAATTCCCCCCACTGAAGGGAGATGGTTAGGATTAAGGCTTACCGTGAAGAACTTGGCTTCTATTATACTATTTTAGATGCGTGTTTTTGCGTTTTTGATTGCGTTTTAATAGGGTACATCAAGAGAATGTACGCTAAGAAGAAATTTTTTGAAGAAGAAGATACATTTATAATAGATACATTTTGAGCCACAACAACATGTGGCGGGGTCTGATAGTCTGAGTATATTATTGTAACAGTCACTCCACAGACAATTCTGCTGACAAAGATCTTTTACCTATGTGAAGTAATATACTGTAGTTGCAGTCCTTGTTGTGCAGAATGGGTAGTACAATAAATGTGCATCAAAGTAACTGTTGCACAATTTCCTAGCTACTGGTTGTTGGATCCTTCTGTATCAATGCTAGTACACATAGTTTATTCACACAATGTACAGTACATTTCCATTGTCCATATTCATCAGTGATAGGATCCTATCTGTTTTGTGCATTCAATGACCAAGAGGTATATGACTTGGGAATCAGGGCAATATTGTGTCAGGTATCACTAACTGTGCCCCTAATGCTGAGCCATGACACTCCCCGACAGGAGGTACTGTACATGTTGCAATACTCTTGCACATTGTATGACATAACTAAGTAAACAAAAACAAGTATTGTTTAGTGTCATGATAAAATAAAATTGTTTAACAAATGCAGTATGAGCTAAGTATATATAAAAGGGTCAGAGGAAGAAACAAACTATCACACGTGTGAGTACAACTCATAGTTTGATGCTTTCATGATTATCTCATGCTTTCTTTTCATGTATGTATTTATTTATTCTGAGGTACTAGAAAACCAAGACACACTTAGGGATACTTTGTTTGGAGTTTTCAGAGTTAAAATTGTAAATGACTGGAAATGATGTCACTTCCAGAGATATTTGCATAAAATATCTCTAGAATGCCATATTCAATTGAAAAACAGATAACACTTTTTTGGGTTGATTTTCAATAAGGGGTCAGTCAGATGGTAAAATTATTGTGCAGTCAATTCTGATCACCTGTATTACATTTTAATGACTAAAAGTTTGAAAACTGCAATTTTAGTTATTTTAATGTGATTCAAAAACAATTTATATTAGCATCTAAGAACATATTAACCAGAAAAATTTAGTAATGTATTATTTCTGTTTCTGCAAAAAAATTTTCCTTTAATTAATTCATATATTTTTTTTCTAATTTTATAGATTACTTCCCAGCAAGATGTTCTCCCTACTGCAGATCTTCTTACTCAAGCAATGTCTGAACTGACTCAAACTCTTAATGAATACAGACCGTCACCTGGCGAATATTTGACCAGTCGTATTTCCCATTCTACTCCCCCGACAATGGTGTCAGGCTCTCCTAATTCAACTCCTGTTCCAACTCCTCAGCCCACTCCTGTTCCCACACCTACTCCTGCACATACACCTGGTCCTACAAGTCAAGACAATTCACCTCAAACTACTCTGACTGCATCAATTGATCAGAATCAACTAAATCAACTTCTTGCACAATATCAGCAAGCACCTTTAAGGTATATTTTATAGAAAGCAATTTCATATTCTCATACATTTTTTGAAAAATATGATCCTTTCAGTAATTTTCTTAATATTATATGAGTAATTTTAAATGTATAATTTATACGGTTTAAAATATTTCATATAAACAGAATAGAAATGAAAGGAATTATATCTTAATATGAATATGTATACTATGCTTGAAATGATGCCTGGACTTTAATTTTATTATCTAATATAAAAAAGATTAACAATTGTGATAATCTCAAATTTGATATTAGAAGTTATGCAACATTTTCTATACAAAAAAATTGATGTTTCCCTAGATAGGGATTTAACAAATAACTTAGTGATAAAATGTGTTCACTGCAATACTTTTTTATATACAGTATATTAGAGGCAGTCAGATGACAGAAAGTATCATTGAACATTTATTACCTCAAGGTAATTCATTTATCTAGTGATATGTTGGTAACAGTTATGGAGATTAAGTTTTTAACAACTGGCTTGCTTCAAGGACACTGGGAGAATAAGAAAAAAGAATTTCTTGAAATTCTCCTCTCTCACTGTATTTTTTCCCCATAATTACCTGTGTGTTAAAAATGTTTTGGAATCATTTTTCTAAAACAAATTTTTATAACAAAAAAAAAAACAATTCAATATGTATTTTTTTATTTAACACATTTTCATATATACAAATAAAATTTTACTTATATTTATATTAAGTTCCAAACAGCAGTTTGAAACATATTATACATTAAAAATCTTTTTCAATTTATGGCATATTCTGGTGTCTGTGGCCAATCTATGATTTTACAAAAGTATAGCATACCAATCTTTTAATTCTGTTCCTAATAAATTCAACATTTAGTGTTTTAGTTTTGCACATATTACATTCATTAAGCACAGAAGCAACAGAGGTTTCAGCTTAATGTCATAGCAATTAGTATTTTTCTGGTTTGTTCAGGAACTGATACAGTTTTTCCTTCTATACTGTTATCTAAAAATCTCTGAAATTCAAAATAAATAATTAATGTAATTTTCTTTCACCTTCCTTCCTTCTTTGGGCTAAGTGGACTCATCTAATAAATCAACCAATCAACAGTTAGTAAACTTACACTGGAATTAAAAATATTTTTTCTTTATTCAAGAGGAAAAGACTACAAAACTAGATTTAGGAAAACTTTTCTTAAAGAGATTTCTATTTATATTTCTGAAAACAATAAAAATTCAGTCAAAGCTTTTAATAATATTACATCCCTGGTGATTTCATTGGTTTTCCCAGATAAAACTATTCACCTACACAATAACATCAGGAGTAATGATACTATGACCTGTTGTGGGCACAGATCTTTTTCAGTAACATGTATCCTTTGGATTCTCTTATGCCACTGCAGCATGCATGAACATGACATGCAATGATGAATTACTCATCCTCTAACATTCTCTGTAGTCAAAAAGCAAATCTCACCTCCATTTCTAATATTGGACAAATACATCATGTATTTCTAACCTTACTTCAAGTGCAATAAACAAACAACGAATGTGCATTTGTGAGTTGTCACTGTGCTGCTCTCCTTGCCCACAGATGGCAGTATAATTTGTAAACAGTGCTGCCAACATTTGTACACTGAGTTCTGTGCATAGTGACCCAATATACAGTGTATACAATTCGTTGCATTTACTCAAACCGTTAGAAAGTTTTGAAATAAAAAAAAANCCATTCCCGATAACCCGGCATTTTCACAAACTCGGCCACCCTTCGGTCCACATTAGCCGAGTTTTCAAGGTTCTACTGTAATAATAATAAATCTTGCTCTTGTTTATATTATCTTTTTGATTATTTTAACACGTTTTTTTAGTTTCAGTTAAAAAAAAAAAAACAGGGTTTCTGCTAATCATTAATTAGAATATGTAAATATCAGTTGTTATTATCAATATTGACAAATTCTAAAGTGATTGTTTGTTTACAAGTAAATTCTCCAGTACTATAAATTTAAGTAGCTTAAGATAAAGCATTTGTTTTTTTTAGATAAATTGGATTTATTTGTCTCTGCTCTGATATTCTGTAATGAAATTAATATTTTTCTACGAAATAAAATTAGTATTTGCTCGTAACATATCTTTACTATTTTTTACAGCTAGTAATGAAAGTAAAATATATTTTATATGTTGAAATAACTAGTTGGCAGATAAAGGAGAAATTCATCTGCCATTTTAATAGTTTGACAATAGTATTAAGTTACTACAATTTATTCTATGTAGATGATACATCTAAGCAATAATATTGATATTAACATTTAGCTAGTTCAATTATAGTAAAAATATCTGCAATATAATAATAATAATTAAGATTTTCATAACATAAATCAATGCACTACAGTCAGAGGCTATTCAAGCTCTTTGGTTAGATTCGTAATGTACTGGTAGATGTTGATTTTTTGAAAGATCTTGGATTTTTAATTTACTGATTACTACTAATTTTCTCTTTTCCATTTCCATAAGATTTACTGTTAGTAGAATAGTAATTCTTTCTTTATGTAATTTTCCTCCTGCACAGCTTCCTCCTTTGAATTTTTGATGTAAGCTTATAAAAAAGAATTGTTTTTTCTGCATTAATGATATCACAATCTTGGAAATTTTCTGTAATTTTTGGCCACTTATTTTGCAACCAGTCTTCTACCACATCCACATTTATTAAAGCTGCTGCTTCTCCAACAATTTTTCAGCTTCTAATACTATGTCTTTTTTAAATCTCAATCCAATTTCTACTGCATTNTAGTAAAAATATCTGCAATATAATAATAATAATTAAGATTTTCATAACATAAATCAATGCACTACAATACAGGTCAGTTGCTTGAGTTACTGCAGTGTTTCCCAACCTTGTTGACAAATGTGTCGCAACACAGGGTTACAACACATTTGTCTGATGTGAGAGTGCCTCAGATGTGTCGTGGAAATTTTACAAAATATTTAATAAGCTCTTTTTAAAATTTTATTTATTTTCATCTTTCTACTGAAGGGAGAAGGAGGTATTCACTAAAATGCTGATTGTTGCAAAATTTGCAGCATTAGAATACCCTTCACAAAAGTTGTGCATGTCTGTGCATATGCCAGCATACCAACTCTGTAGCTTACCAGTTTAAATAACAATATCAGCTCTTTATGCATTGATTCAAATAGTCTTTTTATTTTTATAGTAAGTTTGTAAAATTGTGAGTTTTTGTCTTAATAAGTTTAACTTTTGTATTATCAAATTATTTTTTAAATCAACTGTAGTTTATTTTAAATTTTAAATATTTTTATTTTAAAAATTATGGTGTGTCACAGGAATCTTATTAAATTCTAAGTGTGTTGCTAATCCAAAAAAATTAGGAAACAATGAGCTATTGAATAAGCTACAGATTAACTAACTGTGGAGGAGTTTAATCTTGTCACTAGATTAAAGAATAAACAATGTTTTTCATGAGATACTTAGACTCAGCAGATACTATAAGCCAGTTAGCTAAAAAAGTTCTTACTGCATGGTCATGTTAGTAAAAGCAATGGTAAAAAATATAGAGAAATTGATTGTTTCCATTACCAGTTTCTGTGGATTTTTAAGCCTAAAATTTTTGGCTTTTTTTCAGTAACTTACCTCACACAAGGAACTCTTATTGATATTGATTTTATTACAGGATGTGGAAATGCATTTCAGGTCTTAATTGCCTGTCTTCAATCCTTAATTTTTATACAGATCTTATCAGAACAAATAATAAATATAAATTACATCACACATACATGTTTACAGATAATATTTACAAAAAATTTTTTCTACTCACATTAACTGATTATTGAATACAAATTAAAATTAAAAATTATTAGAAACCTCTGGGAAATACTTGAAACAACCATGAATATAATAGGTATGTGGATGGTTGTTTCAAGTATTTCCCAGAAGTTTCTAATAATTTTTAATTTGTATTCAATAATCAGTTAATGTGAGTAGAAAAAATTTTTTGTAAATATTATCTGCAAACATGTATGTGTGATGTAATTTATATTTATTATTTGTTCTGATAAGATCTGTATAAAAATTAAGGATTGAAGACAGGCAATTAAGACCTGAAATGCATTTCCACATCCTGTAATAAAATCAATATCAATAAGAGTTCCTTGTGTGAGGTAAGTTACTGAAAAAAAGCCAAAAATTTTAGGCTTAAAAATCCACAGAAACTGGTAATGGAAACAATCAATTTCTCTATATTTTTTACCATTGCTTTTACTAACATGACCATGCAGTAAGAACTTTTTTAGCTAACTGGCTTATAGTATCTGCTGAGTCTAAGTATCTCATGAAAAACATTGTTTATTCTTTAATCTAGTGACAAGATTAAACTCCTCCACAGTTAGTTAATCTGTAGCTTATTCAATAGCTCATTGTTTCCTAATTTTTTTGGATTAGCAACACACTTAGAATTTAATAAGATTCCTGTGACACACCATAATTTTTAAAATAAAAATATTTAAAATTTAAAATAAACTACAGTTGATTTAAAAAATAATTTGATAATACAAAAGTTAAACTTATTAAGACAAAAACTCACAATTTTACAAACTTACTATAAAAATAAAAAGACTATTTGAATCAATGCATAAAGAGCTGATATTGTTATTTAAACTGGTAAGCTACAGAGTTGGTATGCTGGCATATGCACAGACATGCACAACTTTTGTGAAGGGTATTCTAATGCTGCAAATTTTGCAACAATCAGCATTTTAGTGAATACCTCCTTCTCCCTTCAGTAGAAAGATGAAAATAAATAAAATTTTAAAAAGAGCTTATTAAATATTTTGTAAAATTTCCACGACACATCTGAGGCACTCTCACATCAGACAAATGTGTTGTAACCCTGTGTTGCGACACATTTGTCAACAAGGTTGGGAAACACTGCAGTAACTCAAGCAACTGACCTGTATTGTAGTGCATTGATTTATGTTATGAAAATCTTAATTATTATTATTATATTGCAGATATTTTTACTATAATTGAACTAGCTAAATGTTAATATCAATATTATTGCTTAGATGTATCATCTACATAGAATANTCATTCTATCCATATATACATTAGAATAATAATAAATTTTTATATATTTTACATACAAAACTAGAAACACAGCTAATGGTGAGTGATAGTAACATGATATACAGTGTATACAATTAATAAATCCCTAGGGATTTTATTATTTGATCTTTTTTATGTAAAATTTGATTGGCTGGCTGATTATAATTTTATATTTGGCTGTGAATGATTGAACATTAGAAAAGTTGGTTGTTCTGAATATAATGTAATCTTCTCATGCAGACAGAAGTCAATAACTATTTTCTGTTGAAAAACAATTTCTGTGTACAATGAAATTTGAACTATTCCTTACTATACAAGTATTGCAATAAACATGAAAATGATAGGCTAAAATAACCAAACTCTTAATATGATTTTCATTTTAATGTTTGTTATTCTATTTTCTGCCAGGGCAGTGCTGGGCATATCTACTAGTTATTCTATAAAAGCTCATTTTGATAAATATTTTACAGTAACTATCAAAGGTAAAAATGGAGAACAATATGGTGATTATGTCAAATATTTGCTTTTCTATTTCTTTGGTTAAAATTGTTCACTCCCCTCATTAAGGTTAAGTTCGTATTAATATACAGTAAACAATGCATTTTAACTAAGTACTGGTAAATATTTTTCCCTAACAACATGTACAGTTTTTTGTACCAGCTTAAATGTATTACAGAGCTACAGCAACAATGGGTCTAAAATATACTAATTTTTCCATAAAAAAGAGAGAGAATCACCATCCATAAACAATTACCTTAAAATTGGGAAAAATAATATACAATGTTTACAGTATTTATTTAGTATAAGGTTTATTACCTTTGTATGGAAAAAATAAAACACAAAGTACAAATATCAAGCACTGACCAAACTGTGACAAATTGATACTTAATATGCATAAAGTGACAATGCTTTATTATTATCTGGTAAAAATACAAAAATAAGTATTGTGCAAAAAGTAATAGTTTGTCACATCCAGTCAGCACTAGATTAAAGCCCAGAATCAAGAATATAATTCTTCATTTCAGAGGATATTTCATCCTAATGTTAGGAACATACAAAGCTTACAAAAATGAGATGTGCTAAATAATTTATTTTTTCATTAGTTTTTTTTTTGAATATATATTTTATCAAACATGCCAGATATAATCAAAAATAATAAAATATTTCCTTTGCAACTCAAAGAACCTTGAACAGAACAAACAAATATGAAAGGAATTTTCAATAACTAATTCATTAAAAAAAGTACATTATTATTGTGGAATCTCTTAAAACCAAACCACCTCTAATTATCTATCTTTTTAAAAAACTGTTTGGTTAAATTTAAAATGACTTTGAATTTTAATACTTTTTTGGCTCCATTAATTTGGTTTATACAAAAAAATCTTACTTTTTATTGGGAGTTTAGAAATACATAACATGAAGTCCAACAAATTATATGCAGTGGATGAATGGGAATTTTAAGAATCATAATGATTCTTAAAATTCATAATGATGAAGCAATTTCATCATCTTAAAAAGAAAAACATACAATTTTGATTATTGAAATCCCAATAAGCTCTAACCAAAGATTATTAGACTAAGAGAGTATTGTCATGGCTTAACAAAAGTAATGATATTAAAATAAATGTGATGTGTGTAAAATAGGGTCCCAACAATTGAAACTATGAGAATATCTATACAGTGGAGTTTCACTATATTTGGTGGTCAAAAGAAAAACAATATCTCTGCACCATACAAAAACTATTGAATAATTTTGAACAATTTTAAACATTAATGAATAAAATAGTGTTTCTAGATATTTAATGAAGTTGTCATTGCACTGAATAACTTTTCTAAAATTTTCATTCTAATGTCTGCAGTGTGACAATAAATGTCAATGAAATACATCAAAAGTCTAGGATCCAGCAACATATAAGAAGTGCAAATCCTTGAAAGAAACTTCATCAAAACAGCAACAGTTTATTGAACAGGCATTGCAAAATGCAGTCAGTTCTCCAAAGAATCAATTTTTTCTTGATACTGATGAAACATTTATCAGGGCAGGAATTCAGTCATCGAAACTCAATTGACTTATATTTTAAAATTATCTTGAAAAAATTGCTGGATGAAAGTACTGTTAGGAAGAATTACTTGTCTTCTGTCTACCAGGCAACTTTCCAAAAAGTGTTAGACTGGATTCTTTCCCACAGTACTTGCTATATCTTGGTAATTCCTCTAACAGGTGAAATCTGTGTTGCTGAAAACATATTTTTTGAAAAACTAACAACAGAGTTGTCATGCAAACTTTTAATAATACCTGTTCAAAGCTTTAGCCAGATGGATTTTGATATGACAAAGTGGTTCTTTCAGACCATCATACAATGTTCTCACTTTTAACAATTTGAAAGGAATGTATACCCAAATATGAAACATATCTATGAATAGCATGGGTTAAACAAGTGTGTGTTTGTGTGAATATATTCATGATGAGTACTCTGTAGTAAATTCCTTTGTCTGAAATGAAAAATATTCTGTTAAAAGTGCTCAGCAAGAGTACACAATACAAGGATGTTACTAGTCTCTCTTCCACCTGTTCAAACTCTCTGGTGAACTTGGATAAATTCTGCAGTGTTTCATTGTGAAAATTTTCAGATGATTTCAGAATTTCTTAAACAGTTGCAGCCAGAAACTGCCACCACATTGTATAAAATTCAACAGATCATAAAAGACCAAGAATTAGAAGAGGAACTATGCAATATACACATCTTATTGCTTCTATTAAGAACTTAAAAGTTTGGATGAAACCAGAAATACTATGGAATATCAGTGGGGAATAGTTAAACTCTAGACTATTTAGAGTAATTTGCAAAAAAAAGCTTGAGCAGTTGATTTAGAAAAACCCAGATATTCAAGAATTTGTTTATTGCAAAGACAAGAATCAGAGAATTAAAACATGGTTTGCTCAGTGTGTTTCTGTAGAAATAGAAAGATCTTACTCTATATATAAACATTTGTTAGGAGACAAGCAAATGAACTTAAACAAAAATATGTTGTTGTACTGTTTCTGTAATCATTTCACACAATATTTATTTGAATAAAACTAATTGTGTTTTCTGAAATGTAAATTTTTGCACCTAAAAATCAGGCTTTTGATGATGACCAATTCTTATCCTGATCTAGTAGACAACCATACTGTATGTAAATGTTGTTCAACTGGATGCAAAGAAAAGACTTTGATATCATTTGCTACCCCAATAATTTGGATGACTTAATTTCACATAACAAAAACAGATATGGAAACAATTTTGTATTTGTTTTTAATCAAGAATATCTGAATCTCAATTGAGGTTTCTTCCCCATGATGATAGATTAGGCTAAAAGTCTTCTTAAAAAGACCTTGGCAATTAATCATAGTAAAATTACAAAATGTTTGTTTGCTGTTCAGTCATTAATTTTTTCAATCAAAATCAAGGATCAATAGTTCTGACCCATTGGGCATATTGTTTCCATTATGGCATGAGAGAGTCTCCAAGCAAATCAGTGATTAGCCATTCAATTGATCATTTTGGGAAATAGGCAAATTTTTAAGGGAAGAATAATTTCCTGTAGTTGTAACATAAGCTGACCATCATGTTCTCCATATCTGACAACTCCTGATTTATTCCTATGGGGCTTTTCAAAGAAAAAGTTTGTTAAACAAACCTCATACACTCCAACAGCTGAAGAACAATATTCAGGCCAAAATCTGAAAGCACTGGAACCTGAAACATTAAGAGGTATCATGGAAAACACCTTATAAATGGCATCCATTTTTTGTTTTGCACAAATGTGCTCTTTCTGAGATTTGATTGTTTGCATCTAGTGTAAATTTATTTCCTATATATACTGTATATGATACTTTGATATTGTAAATTTAAAACAAAAAATAAAGATATCCACCCACAAAAAAACAAATAACTGATGTCTAACTAAGGGAAAAGAAATCTTGTTGAGAAAGATGTCAAAATATCATACTATACAATATAAAATAAAAATTAATTACCTTGGATGTTTAATGAGGTGACTGAAGTATTCCATAGGCTGAAATAAACATATAATACAATGGATTGGCCATTTATATTTAACAATTTTAACACTATTTTCTTTAAAAAATTTTGGAGATAAAGCTGATATCAGTTAGTGACAAATAAACAAGACAAATGAAAATCAATTTATAAGATAAAATGCTTTAACTATTATGCTATGTTGTCAACATGGTCTTAATTTTATATTTGAATGTAACATGGGGGATATATTTTTATGAAAAATGTTACCTAAAAACACTATTGAAATGTATAGATAATTTTTTTTTTTTTTTTACTTCTTAAACAATTAGGGATTTACATTGAAGAAACAAAATTTAAAAATTATTATGAGATAAAATTAACAAAATAATAATATAATAATTCAAAAGTAAAAAATGAAAGAATCACATTTTTCAAATGATACTTTTATTTAATTATTATTATTTTAATACTTAATTAATACTAGTTAATTACTAACAATTACTAGTTATATGTGAAATAAAAAAATTTGAAAAATTTTATGATTATGAAGAAATACTCTATACGTGGACTAAATTCAGCCTCTTGTAATAAGATTAATAAAAATATTAAAATTTTGCTTAATAGATTTATTTAACAGTATATATAAAATGTAAACTTTCTAAAATTGAACGCCTTAAATACCTAGGTCTATTTTATAATTGTAGATCTCTTAAGTGCTTATACAATCTTAGAAAAAAATTTTTACACTGTTTTGATTAAATTTGATTAAAAAATTTTTTTAAATGTTTAGTCTTAATTTTAATGTTCTTCAATAAAGTTTGAAACTAAAAAGTAACAAATATTTGTCACTTTTTAACCAACTATATTTGAATATTAAATTATTGGAAGATAATAACTAAATGATATTAATTAGATAGTCTAGTTTGCTTTTCACAGAAGTATGATAGTTTTATCTTATTTTTGGTTAATTAGTTAATTATGTCAAATTAATCAAAAAACTTGTTTTATAATTTTTGATGTTTTGCAAACAAAAACTCGTATTTTTACATTTATAATGTATTCAAAGATGCCCAAATTATTTTCATTTTGCTTGATTCTGTGGTATTCCTAAGAAGTTTATTGTAATTATTTTGAAATGCAAGACTAGTTAATTGTGATATTAACATTCTCTGTTCAGTAAGTACATTAATAAGTATATTTACTATAAACATTTCAACTGATGGATTTACTAAATCTTAATGATAATCTAAGAATAGACAAAGTATTAATTTTGTTAGGACAAACTTTATTCATTAGAGACAAAGGTATCATTTTTTTTTTAAATATAATTTATTATTTTAATTACTTTATATTTAGACTATTTTCCTTGTCATTTTTAAAACTGACAGTTTTCGACACAGTTTTCTCATACTTTGATAATTCTGATTAAATGGACAAGAAACTTCTAATTGAGCATTATAACATAATCAAGAAGTTTTTATATGTTCAATATTAAAAACTGTATATGCACTTTATAAGTGTACATTTTATAGTTATCTAATGAATTAAGAAAGCTTTTAAATTTATAATAATTATTATAGCTGTGCTTGCTTTTTTTTTTTTTTTTTTAGTCCTCCCACTATGACGGCTGTTACAACTGCAGCATATCCGACTCGTTCCTGGCCTTCAACTGTAACAAATACCTTGAACAACTATCCGGCTCGTTGAAAGAGGTCGTCGATTGAAATCTGACCTTCTTCTCAGCAGACAATATTCTGCAATTCTTCAGATGTCTTATGACTAGAAGCCAGGATGGGCTTGCATTCTTGCACATTTAGTACGTCATTGCACTGCTGGTGATGCTAGAGGTGAAGAGAGGAGACTATTTTATTGAAAAGCTATATCCTTAGCATGTTATATAAATTTCCCATTCAATAACGGAAAGTTATTTTGATATGGGAGTTTCAGTAGGAAAGGAATACAGGCCAAAGAATGGCTTGTCTGTGATGTTTTAAGTGTGTCAAAGTATGGTTGTGCTAGTAAAATTGTATGGAAATGAACATGTATTGTTATTATTAAAAATGATAAACCAAAGATGTCTTTCTCTTCAAGCTAATGTTTGTCAATTTAGAATGACATATTTTATGTAAAAATAATGTGAATGTAAAGCACTTAGCAGATAATTGAATGTATTATTTTATAAAATTATTATCTAGTTGATAGAAATGAAGATTACATTGAACAGAGCAGATCAGAATAGAATAATTGCACATCTGCCAAAGGTTCAGTATATTTATTATGTAGATATAAGGATAAGCTTTCTTGACTTTTAATCTAATAAATTTGCTATTTATGATTGTACGTACTAAAAATATTTAAGTACAGGGGAGAGATAAAAAAAAATTAGTATATTTAAAATATGCAGTAGTTATTCTCAATGAGACTTTGGTTCTCAATTTAAAAAAGTGTGGAAAGAAAACTTTGTTAATCATTTGCATTTTTCCTTGTAAAATGTGCCATCTGCACAACATTACAAACCAACATTGTTATATCATACCTTTCATTTTCAACATTTTGAATGTATAGGGCCCAGTTTATACTGGCACTTACGTAACATAGAATGTCATTTGGTATTTATTAATGGTATTAAAAAGTGAATGCAGTTATGAAAGTTTATAACTTTGCATCACTTACCATTAACATTATATTGTAGGAATTTCATTATGGCTTCATATTAGGCCAAAGATCATATTTGTCAACTAGATAATGCTTATTAATATTATATATTTGGGGCTTGAAATGAAAACATTTGTTAATGATAACATTTTTCATTATTGAGATTTATTTTATATTTAATATGCTATATTTCTCTTTAGTAATTCTTTTATATTAAATAATCAAAGTTTTGATGAATGATTTATCATATCTTATGGTGCTGAAAATTATCATTTCTCTTCATTCATTTAGCAATCATAGTAGATGGCTGTTTTTAAAATCAAAGAAATATATTATAATAATTATTAAAAACATAATATTTTTAATTATGATAACAGATTTTTTTCATTTTTCTTTTATATATTTCTATTTACATTCATGTTGTTAAATTTTCTTTTATTTTTTAAATTTATTTAACATAAATTACTTGTGTTCAAGCATTTTGTAAAAAAAGAAAAGAAAGAAATATCTAAGACTACTGGATTCATTTCAGTGATGTTGATTATTATTTCAACACAAGTAATTTTTAGTTTTATATGGATTCTTCCTTGGTTTTTTCTAGTCTAGAACAACTGTAGCCTCAATTTGCTCCAGTTGATTTTTTTTGAACAAAGAAGTACACATCATCATCATAATCCATCATCACAATCATAGTCATCATCATTGTCATTTAGCTAATCATATTTTGTACCCTTTGACTGGAAAGTCAATGATTTTTTGAACAAAAGTAATTTGTTTATCATTCATTTGAATAGTTCCAATGTGAATAATATATGTGTAATTAAAACATATAATTGTATAAAATCACAAAATGCAGTCCCATTAATACTCCAGAAACTATACGACAGATACGACTGTACCAAAATAATTTATTTCTTTGTTTAATACCCAAATATATTTTCATGTCATAACAAATGGCTGTAAAATAATTTTTATAATTCGACTTTCAGTACTATCAGCTTATTGCTGAAATCATATTTAAATAAATATATAAAGATATATATATAATTTCAATAAAAGTCAGTCGATTTAGTACTTTTATTTACTCAGGTTTAAATAGAGCTATTATATTATAGTTTCTACATTTTGCTGTGCAGATGAACTGTTTTACAAAATATAGTACTAACCGTTTCAGATTGCAAAAGTTAATATCTATTTTTCACATATAATTGTTTTCACTGTGTATGCAATTGAAATGGTAGTTTGTAAATCTTATTCTGAAGTTGTGTGTATATTGTTACAAATGAGAATATCAATTCACTGTGAATTAATAACAGTGTACAATCTCTGTATCAATGTAATGTTTTCAATTAGCTTGTTAAATATTAAAATATACAGTTGCTGAAGATAAGCAATCATCACAAAGAACTTATTTCCAATTCTGTATTCAGTAGTAAAGTATACGAATTATACGCTTAAAAAAACAAATTGAAATCGATGTAATCAAATAGCCGATTATAGATTTTGATCAAAATACCTTACAGAATTGCAAAAAATTAAAAGCTTTTATGTTCATTATGGTTTTTTAAATTAACTTCACAAAAAAAATAATAATAATAAATTTTTAATTTCTAGATAATTCCATGTTTATTGAACTATTTCAATGTTTGTAGAGTATAGAAAACTGTATTGCTGATTTAATGTACAGTTTCAATGTAAGAGGAGAATGTATTGTTAAAATTGCAAACAACAATTATTAAAAAAAAAACAAAATTATTTTCTTTTTTGAACAATCAGTGTAAAACTGTTGTTAACTTCCTGCATTAAAGACTCGTGTATAGGTAATAGTAAAAATATTAGCATTAAAAATATAATTTTTTAACTGCTCATTGTTATTTTAATATGGAAAAAAGAAGGTAATACACAGTTACTAATGTTCTAAAATATAAATTTTACTTAGTGATATAAATCAATATGTAAGTGATACAGCAATCTTAATGACACTCACTTCTTATAAGTTTTTTGGCACTCCTTAAATATAGATTATACAAAAGCAGGTAACTGGGATCATTTGTTAGGGGAAAAAAAAACGTGTAAAATAGGCCAAGTTCATTACATTGTCAAGGAAATTACACAAGTGAATAACAATGATATCCCTTTCAGCTGTAAATTTTTATTATCGATTTAAAATATTTCCTTACTTAAGCAAAAATTTGAGAAAAAGACAAAATAGCAAGTTGCAATAAAACTGCGGAAACTTACTAAATTCAATTTATAATTCTTAAAAATACATTAAAATAATTGAAAAAATTGCATTTTTTATTATATTTTTAATAATATAATAAGTAATGGCAATACAAAGAAAACTTTAAAACAAATAATAGAACAGTTTACTTAAATTAATACAAAAATTGAATTAATAAATTAGAAAAAAAAGTTGAAATCCATTCAGGGCGGCCAGAAGGTTAAAAAACTATAAGTGTATAAAGGCCTACGAACTATAACGTAGACAATGAATTGACAGCAACGGGCATTGAAAACTTCTCGACTTTAATTTCGTTTGAAATTTCTAATCTCTTATTTATAGAGACGGTTCATCGACAGACCAATTATAATTTAACACTGATTTGTGAAAACCTTAGTTGTTAGGATATAATCATCCACTCGATGGTAAATAGCACATTGTCTGGGTTATAACCTGGATTCTAAGAAATTTATAGGTTGACGTTATTTTCTGCTTAATATAGTCTAGAATATAAGAAGTTTCATGAAATTGTTCCCAAATCAGAAAATAATTCCTGAATTTTTTAATAGCAAATTCTTTGGCATTCGAATAAAAATACTCATTTAGTGTCTCCATCGTCATCGATCTGTCATTTGAAAAACATATCAGAAAATCTCAGTCCGATAATTCAATATATTCGGGGAATTTTACGACGTGAACGGGCACAAGAAATCATAATAACTGCCCCACATTCTACACAAAAGAGGAAAAAAGAAGAAAAAACATTCCGTGCACTGGCTTTTCCGTGTTTTGCTAATAACCGATTTTTCTGCCTTCAGAAGAATAAGAGTTAGAAGGAAGTTATTAATTGTAATTGGTGTACTAAAAAATTGAATAATTGATAATCATGACATGATTTTGTAAAGAAAGGAAAGTGTCCGAAATATTCTCATTTTATACTATGAGAATCAAGAACGAGATGAACCACCATCGTTAATCATTTTTTCCAATACTATATATTACGATTAGAATTTGAATTTAATATTTTATTGTTATGGAAATATAATTTGATTTAACATTACGCTTCGTCTTACGTAATTAACATGTTTTAATATTTTTCAAATTAACCTTAATTACAATTTTATTACATAAAAAATTACAAATGTATGTATGTATATATAATACACTACAATATGAAATTAATTCTTAGAAAAAATTCTTAAATACTGTATATTAAATTTTTAGGTTATTTCATTAGAATTTATATGTAGAACGCAGGGGCGGATCTATATAGGGACTAATAGGTCTTAAGCCCTGGGTCCCAAGTATCAAGGGCCCACCCATAAAAATTGAATTATCATCATAAATTTTTAATACTTTTTCATTAACAAGGAGCACTTATTGTGTAGTAAAAATAGTTAACGTTAATAATATAATAATTTTAAACCCCAATTTAAAGATTCTTAATCTAACAAAAAATGGGGCCCCAATGGATTTCAATAAGACCTAGGCCCGAAAAGCTTAGATCCTCCCCTGGTAGTTAATGCTTGCTAATAATTAAAATCTGAAATATTAACTTTTCTAATAAGTAAATAAATATTTATAAAATTTATAATAAAATGTAATTAATACTGTGGTGTGTTTGGACACCCCACTGAGAACTGTTGTCTTTCTCTTACTGAAATTTCTGCAACATCGTAGTAATTTCTGAGCATGCTCNTGTTTAATCTGGGGCCCCAGTTTTTCCAAAATTGCCCCTCCGTTACTCTATATATGTGCCCATACATTTAGTGGAAAATCTAAATGAAAACTGCAGAGCACTGGGACTTTCAAATATCCCATACTTTGGTAATATGTTTTACATAATATATATATAACTTTAAAAGAATTTAAACTTTTTAGGAGTTTTACAAATAATTTTTGCGAAGGGGCCTGTCTAGCTTACTTCATCACAGGGCCTGTTTATAATTAATAAAAGAAAAAAACATATTTCTTTGCGGTATGAAATAGGTTGACGGCTATTATTATACGTTATATTTAAAAGAATTTTCTTTTTAAATGCAATACGAGTTTTAAATCAATTCCGAGAAAATGTGGATCAAAATGTTATCTAGAACTTTTACGTTTCTTTGAAATTTTCTCACCTAATTAGAAAAACAAATTCAATTTCGTTATTGATTTTGCAGTGAAAATAACCTAAAATCTCGTTTTCCACAAAATGGAGTCACTCGTAAAGTTCATTATTATTATTAATTCAATTAAAAATACATAGTTACAATAATTAAACATTTTATTTTAAAGAAATTCATTAAATTAAATCTAATTAAAGTTTTACTAGAAGAAAGATTTCAATAACATTTATAACTTAATTTTAAATCCTACTTCTTAAACAAGTATTCGTTTTTTAGTATTTTTGAAGGAGAAAAAAAACCAAGTATTTTTTTAAATTTCAAATAAATATTCTTTTATCCGATTGGCTATTTCGTATTGTCAATAATGTTTTATCTTCTTCTTCCTTCCAATAAAGGAGAAGAAAAATACATGACGTCATGACTGAGGAACTATATAAAATAAGATCCGTTTTGGATTTTGTTATAATTTCTTTGCCACAGTGAAAGTTAAAATGAAATTCTTCGTTGCATTCATTCTATTCTTCTCTTTAGGTAAGAATATAATTTAAATTTTTACATATTTAATTAAATTTTAATATCTTAATCCCTAATCTCATTTTATATTTTTTTTATTGATGAATAATCAATGTAAAGATCATCGTTACAAATTTCCTGAAGCATATACTTTAATTATTTATATATAAATTAATATTATGTAAAAATTTTAATCTATTAAAAGTCAAGTTTTAAGCTCTATTTTAAAATTTGCTACTTTAATTATCAACAGTTTGTTGACAACTAATGAAAATCTTAATCTTAATTTGTTTATAGTTTTATTAGTGAACTTTCTTTTATATTATTATTAAATATATAAAAGTAATTTTAAATAATAATAAAAAATCAGAGCAGTCTACGAACTCGCACAATGTTCTCGCTGTTGATGCGATTGATTTTTCTCATTTAAGATGAGTAGTTGGCCTATATGATGCGAATGAACTGGTTTATCCAGTCGTATTTCTTATTTTTACTTTTCTGCTTTAATGTTTCTTGTGTTTTTCACTTGACATTAAAAAAGGAGGGACTTTTTTCCTGGAAGTTTTGTACTTTTGGGACATTCACCTCATCTGACATTTATGTTTAAGAGCCTAGTGGCCGATATCCCAATTGGGTCAAATATTTCTGATGAACTTGTTAAAAGGGGACACTCTTCACAAAAATAGAAAGCTCCAAATTCCAAAAAATAATGCATATTACTTTTTAAGATGATAATTAACTAATGAAGTTCCGGTTTATGTGGGTTTATAGATGGGAATAATGAAAAATAATTACTTAAGTTGCGTACTAAAATCACAAGTTTTGACGATGATTCCTGTCTGTTCTTTCTTATCTATTCAATTTGTAATCAATTTTTTCTGTCTAATATTGACACAAATTATGATTAAGAATAAAAAAAATAAATCCTGGAGAGAGCTCCAGGATTTATTTTTTTTTATTCTTGTATGAAGGGATCTTTAGATTCGTGGCATCTTCACAAATAGAAAAGTGCTAAAAACAAATAAGAATGGTTTGTTTTAATAAATAGAAACTAAAGAAAAATTAATAATTAGTAATAAATTTAATAAGAATTCGAATATATTAAAGTAGATTAATTAAAAATGCATTAGTGATTAAATAATATTAACATTTCCGCAAAAACCCATTTTCTTTTAGGGACAGAGGTCCGTAGATAAGAGAAGTCGATGGTTTTATTATATATTCCATTTGATCGATCTACCGACAAAAATAACCTGTTTGCATGAAATAATCATTACGGTTAACCACTTACCATGTTTTTTTGTATGATATAGGTCAATATAAAAACAAGGTTAGTTCATAAATAATTTTGACATAAACTTTCTATGTTTCAGTATGTCATTATGTATCTTCTCAATCTTGTCATTTGAGAGAATTGGATCTTTGCGCCGCAACACTTTTGCTATTTAACCAAAGTCCTAGTGGCGTGGCCACAACCGATGCCGAATTAAACAGACAATGCAGGTAGGATATACATTTTATTTTTGTTTCCATCAAAAAATAAAATGTTAGATCTAAATAGAAATATTCAATTTTGAATTATTTGATACTTCTGTAAGTTAGATCTATAAATCCGGACAAAAACTTAAGATTTTATAATTCGAAGTGAGATTGCTATGTCCTATTTTTCCCGGACATGTCCTCTTTTTTTAAGCGTAAAATTTTTGAATGGAAGATTTTATGGGTGCATAAGAAGTATAAAAACAAAAGGCGAGAATGGAAGTTCATGTATTTTCTTTCATTATAAAATTTAAACTTAAAAAAGTAAAATAAATATTTAGTGTTTGCATCGAACTTTTTCTTAGACGTTCTCTTTCCTTTATTTTATTAGGAAATTTGATGGAAATTTTCACTATTTAAATTGATTATAAATCTATACGTTAAATACAAAATCTTTAAATATATATGAGTCGTTTTCAACAAAAATAAAAAGTTTATGAATTTTCCATTATAAAACAACAAACTGATAAATTATTAGATTCTTTGAAATGTTTAAGTGTACACACGGAAATATGAAAGAACAAAACAGTGTACTACGTAATATTACACTTTATACGGGTAAAACGACAAAAGGTGATGGACTATTGTATCAATACTTCTCTTAACTATAACACTATTCAGTAGACCCCCCTATAACACTGTTGATAATTCTACTGTTGTTATATGAATTCATGTTGTACGAGTCACTTAGATTTTACAAATACGTGTGCCGGGATATGAACAGCTCATGTATTTGTAAAATCTAAGTGACTCGTATAACATGGAATTATCAACAGTGTTATAGGGGGGTCTACTGTATAATGCTGGCTCTCCACTTAACACAATCGCGTCGCTGTCACCTGATGATTTGTAGAGTGACGCAATTGCTGTCCTACTTGCTTACACAATTCGCGCGAAATGGAAGGCGATTTGTATGAATTATGAGAATTTTTTAAAACTTTCAACTAAAAGTTTATATCTATATTTTTTCAATTTAACTTTTTAAACATTTAAAACTAATCTGCCATTATTAAAGCCATTTGCTTCCGTATTTTTTCATGGGTGTCTTCAGAGAGAAATCGGAGCACTCTCTGCCCCGCCCTGAAATCGAGCAAAAGATTCCTCAAATTATAATCGTAAAAATGATTGAGATATGTAACATTACACCCTCGACCATAGGACACTGGCTATTATAGATAGATTATAGAATACGGCATTGATGCAATACTTTAGTCCAGGGGTGGCCAATAGTTTTTGCCCCCGGGCCAAATTGGAAAGAAAACTTTTTTCACGGGCCGAACCAGAGGCTGCCCTAGGAAGATTCTGAGGTGGTGCGAGATCTCATTGTGGTGTCACCCCTTAGAGACTAAATTGTACATAGAGATTACAGATACATTTTTCACATTATCATGCTTTATCAACGTTTGACGCTGTACTTATGAGATTCGTAATGGAGGGTTAACTCTAACCAGACAGCGAGTTGACTCTTTTTTTCCTAGGCGTTAGAATTTTTCGCCGAGCTATTCTGACTTGAGTAGCTAATATTAAAAGATTAATCGCGGGCCGTATGTTGGCCATGCCTGCTTTAGTCTATAATCTACTTGTGAAGAAACCCAGAAAAATTATATCAATTTTTACTTAATTATTTGTCTCCGAGCATTGACCCCTGAAAAATTTTCTGAGGGCGCCATGCTTCTATCTTCTCGTTTTTTGGCTGCAATTTGAAAAAAAAAAAATTATAGACCTATAAATTCTCACTGTCGTTCGTCTTTCCTTAATCTCGAGAACGGAGTTATATAGATGAAATCCGAGACCAGATATGGCAGAGGCCCCGATTGCAAACTTCCAATGCAAACCGGAAGGCATGTTATTTCAATTCAAACACTTTCCCAAGCAAAAATACGCGTTGTCCTAGTATTCTGACGCCAAAGTACTTGAAGTGCGCATGAGCAGTGACAAAGGTGACTGAATCTCCTGAAAATCGCTCTAAATGGAAAGCCAGCATAAGAGGACATCGATCACGTAATAAAAAATGTCGGCTTTTTATTAATTAAGCTCAAGGAAAAACATTTAGGTATTTTCGCATGTAGTTTCAAAATTATATTTTTGAGGAAATATTCTACTTATACTAAATTCATTTATCCCATGAGTGAACACAAAAACCAAGCAAAAAGTCCAACTATACAATACAACATGGAATCTTCTATTTGGAAGATAGTATAGTTAGAAGATACTATTTACTACAATTCCTGCAGAACTAGAGGTAATTTTGTCACGTGCAGATTGTGGTTACTTTAATATGACTATTAAAATACCTTTGGTTTATAAAATTGTTATTCAAAAACGCAAATAACAAATAAATAAAATAAATCTCAGGAAGGACAGTTGCCTCTCTTGACTCCTCCTGTGAATGTCCTTAATCCAAATGACCAGATGGCCGAGGCAGTAAAAGCATCAACCTGCTGATCTGACGGATCCAGGTTCGAGTACTGTTTTTGAATTTTAGGGAATTTCATGGATGCCTGGATACGTTTTAACCCAGTCCTTATGCGAGGTCGCTCCAAACGTAGGACTGGCCAAACCCTTTTAATGCCCATAGGACGGAAAAAGAAAATGAATAAATAAATCTGAATGCAGTTAAGTGCCTTAATTAACGATGCGTTTATTATTTAAACTGTTTTCGGTATAAAAAATAAAAACATGTTCTGTAAACAATATCGTCTATAAATGATAAATTATAATATCACTCAAATTTCAATAATAATAAACTTTAATGATTCCGGAGACGTTCATCATTTTCTTAGACGAATTTCAGTTACTGTTTACTGTTTGTTTTGATTGATCTGATCGTTTTCGGCCGATATACGAGCACGGCATGGATAAATAATAATTTGGCTTATTAAAGTTTTTTTTAACTTTATTTTTGAGAGGGGAGCATATTTAGAACAAATAGAATTAATGCCGACATATAAATTTAATTATATATAATTTATGAATTTATAAATAATGTGAATAATTGTTACATGAATATATGTTATATATTCGCATAATAATTTCAAATATATTTTGTAAATAATAATTCTTTAACTCGTAAACTATTATGTCTTAACTTTCGTGGATCATTCTGAAACTTCATCCTCAGCGGATTAATTTGTGTTCTGCTGAAGATACCGAAAATGTTTCGGTTTAAAGAATTATTTGTAATTATCAATAAATTATTACTTTTAATCAAAATTTAAAATAAACAAAACATTATGTTAGATTTGATTGCGTAAATTAGTATTTGGTATTATACAATCCAATATTTTACAATAATTGCACAGTAATTAAAATTTAAAACTAAGATAAAATATAGGATAAATGTACTCGTAATTCAATTAGAATCATCATCACATTATATCTAACAAATTTTTAACAGATTAAATAAGTTAGTTTTAAAGATTTAACATTTATCTGATTACTTTAACAGTAAATTTTTTTCAATTGAAAGAATTAAAAATTGTTCAAAAATATTTTCATTCATTAGAAAAGCATTTAATAATGGTTTTGTTTGACCATTCATGAAGTAAATTTAACATTTTTCATTTTCCCCATTCTAAAAACTAATTATTTAACATGATTGGATTTTCCGAATTTTTGGATGAGATGCTTGTATTTTGAAATCACTTTAAAAAACAAGTACACAGTGTTAATTATTTACGTTATCAATTTGATGAATATTTTGAACTTATTTTTGTAATTGAGCGGAGCTCTCTGCATAAATCAGTGTTTCAAGCGAAGCTCAGTTTCCATTTTCTAGAAAATTAAAGAAATAGTTTACCTAAAATAAATATCTAATATCGAAGAAAATATGTAGCCTAATTTAACCGAAAACCAGTTACTGATGATAAATTTATGCGCTTCTATCGAGCCATATCACGCCTTCTATTGTACAATCGATGTATGGTGGTGGTTCCTTCTACTGGAAAATAACGATTTAAGAATTTATCTCTACAAGAAATCAATAAAAATGCAATGTAGAGTAATTGCCAATAACATAGCAATAAAATTAAATATGTCATTGCACAAAATGACTATAAATTGACTACATTATGGCTATTTTAGCCCTGACCTTACTTAACATGTGTTCTTTAAAATTTGTTGGGACCGTTCCACACAAATAAACATGTCTAATCTGTCTCGGTTTATTTTTTCAAATTAAACTTCATTATATAGTATAAATTTAAAGAATTTTTAAGTACTTACAATTTTATTATATTTTAAATATATTTTTATANTTAATATATGAATAAAAACCAATGAAATAAATAATTATTCACTATATATTTTCGTCCCTATTTTTCCAGGCGCAATACGTTTTTTTATATAGGAGGTGCAAAGTTTAGCTGTTTAATCTGGGGCCCCAGTTTTTCCAAAATTGCCCCTCCGTTACTCTATATATGTGCCCATACATTTAGTGGAAAATCTAAATGAAAACTGCAGAGCACTGGGACTTTCAAATATCCCATACTTTGGTAATATGTTTTACATAATATATATATAACTTTAAAAGAATTTAAACTTTTTAGGAGTTTTACAAATAATTTTTGCGAAGGGGCCTGTCTAGCTTACTTCATCACAGGGCCTGTTTATAATTAATAAAAGAAAAAAACATATTTCTTTGCGGTATGAAATAGGTTGACGGCTATTATTATACGTTATATTTAAAAGAATTTTCTTTTTAAATGCAATACGAGTTTTAAATCAATTCCGAGAAAATGTGGATCAAAATGTTATCTAGAACTTTTACGTTTCTTTGAAATTTTCTCACCTAATTAGAAAAACAAATTCAATTTCGTTATTGATTTTGCAGTGAAAATAACCTAAAATCTCGTTTTCCACAAAATGGAGTCACTCGTAAAGTTCATTATTATTATTAATTCAATTAAAAATACATAGTTACAATAATTAAACATTTTATTTTAAAGAAATTCATTAAATTAAAT